ATATTATTGTAGTTTTTCATTTTCCACCACATTTTAACTCATTGTCTGTTTGACTTCCTTAGTTTCATTTCCAATTTTTCCAGAGATACTGGTTTCTCAAATAATTAACTATTTTTTTTTTTATTTTCTTTGTTAATTATCTGGTATTTTCGCTTCCATTTTTTCCTTTTCTTTGTTTCTTACTTGTATCATTTTTTCAACTCAAGTTTGTCATACCATAGGTGTACATTTTTAGGTCATCTTGGGGTGGTCTCACATGCTTCCACTAATGACAATATGATAACATTATTAGATTCCTCTATTTTGATCTAGATTTACTGATATTGATTTGGACTGGAATTTATTACTAAATTCTAGAAGTACGCTTTCATTTTTAAGGGCTTCAATGTTATACCTTGGTTTATGTGGGGTGAAGCAAGTTATTTTGTTGGCTGGTGTTGTCAGTTTAATTACAATTAATCTGTGATCTGATTCAAAGTAAGAATTGTATAGTCTAACATCTGTCACAAACTGCTTAATCCAGGAGTCTGAGATGATGAAGTCAATAATTTGTTTTGTTACATTATCTGGGCACGCCATGTGATGCAGTATTTCATAGGATGACCCAAACCATGTGTTAAGGATGGAGTAACTTCTTCAGTAACAAAAATTTAGCAAGAGTTCTTCATTGTTGTTTGAAGCTCCCATTTTAAAGGGAGATGTCTTCTTACCATCAAAGGAGTAGTGGCAGTTAAAAAGGTTTGAAGTAACATTAGAATCCCCATTAATGCACTTTTGGGGTTTTTTTTCACTACTATACAAATTTTACTTAATTCTCTGTAGAATTTCTCTTTTTTTCCAAGACAGAACTTTTTACAGTTGGAGCATCAGCTGATATAATTCTGATCTTACAGCCATGAACAACGATGTTGGCAGCTATCAGTTTACAATATTGTTTATTACAATATCTGGTGATTTGAATATTGCAATTCCAACACCATGTTGTCTTTTCTCCTTGTGGTTAGTCCAAGATAAATAGTATCCCAAATGTGCAATGGAATCACAACCAAGTTGATGAACCTCTTGCACACAAATAATATCAAGGTTTGCTTTCCAGCATTCTTCTAAAAGTGCAACCTGAAATCATCTGATATTAACTGGATGTTGATTTGTCCTATTTTCTATTTGAAGAATATTTTAAGATGCATTTTTTAGTCAATTAAACTAGTATAAAAATTAAATCAATGTATTTGTGTTCAAAATTAGGAAGTTTTATTTATAATTATGTTAAAAATCCAATAAAACATGATATTTCCAGATAGAATAATGAAATTATTGGAAATTACAAAGGTTGAGTAATAAGGCCTCCAAAACATAAAAAGCAAGTTTTAGCCCAGAATAAAACTGATGGGAAAATGAAGTCAATTTATTCATTTGCAAAATTACAAGTTAAATTTCTACATATTCACCATTTAGCGTGGGAAGCTTGGTATGGTGTAATGGTTAGCAAGCTTGTAATGGTTAGCAAGCTTGTCTCGCTAAAACAGATATGACTGAGTAGAGTGAGTTTGATTCTCACCTGGTGCCTCATACTTTCAGCCTTGTGCTACATCTAAGCTATGCTTAGAAAATCATTTGGGCACCTTGAGGCAGTGTAATGGTTAGCGAGCTTGTCTTGCTAGAACAATTATGACTAAGTAGTGAGTTCAATCCTCACTGGGTGCTCCATACTTTTGGCCCTGTGCCACATCTAAGCTACACTTGGGAAATCACTATTCACTATTTAGTGTTATACATTTTTCAAAATACTGTATCCACTTTTTAATGTCAGACAGGAAAAATTTCTTTTGACCCAGTTGCAAACAGCAGCTTGAACCTCAGCATCATATGGAAAATGGTGAGCTTTCAATGCCGCTTTCAATTTCAAGAACCAGAAGTCTGATTATGTCAGATCAAGGCTGCACAAGATTGCACAAGATGTGTACAGCAACTGTGAATTTCAGGCTTCCCATTGTTTGTTGACTGCAATGCAACCTTGTGTTGTCATAATGCAAAAATGTTCTATTTTCAGGCGACACATTGAGTATTTGCAGCGTTTCATGTTACTGTCAGTAAGTTACTGAATTGTCATAACTTTTGGCAAAAATTCCACATGAATGACTCTTTGATAACTGCTTTTACTCAAAGAAGGTGTAACAGTACCTAATAAATAAATAAAATAAAACATTTTCCCATCATAAAATAAAAAAAAGGAAGCAGAAATAATGTCTGACCTCATTTCCTAAATTTCAAACTCTTTCACATTTGCTGGTATCAGAGATTAGTGTATGACTCTGTTGATCTAAATCTAGACATGAAATCAAGATGAAAAAAAAAAAAAAAAAAAACTGACCACAGTGTCCATTTCCTCTAACTAACAACCTAACTTTGCCTTTATGAATTCCCATACATCCACTTTGAAGTGATAAAAACATGTTATATGTTATTCTGCTTTCACAATTGAATCCATGGTAGATGATACTCAGCTTTTGTGCATATACATGTTTGTGTGGACATAATTACTAGAGGCAGTGATATGTATGTTTTATGTTGTAGTTTTGCTGAAGTTATATTTTGGAATACAGTTTGATTTCTTGAAGAAATTGTAGGATATTATATGAATTAATGCCATGAAAGAGTTCTTTCATGTGAGTTGTTTGGTTGGTTGATTTTGTTTAGCAACATATCAACCTCTATGGGTTATTTAATGCCAAAATCTAAATATTTTCTGCATAATTTTATACTTTCGAAATAAAGGTATGTTTTTTAAATATATAGTTTGTAGATCATAAAATGTATTGTTGGTAATTTTATTATAAAAATATATTATATTTTTTAGTGTTGCATTGATTGTCATTTTGCTGTAAAAATGTATTGGTGGTCATTTTATTATAAGAATTTACTGGTGATTTTTTTTGGGCATTCACTCTTTTTTGACATAGATGGGACCCTAACAGGGTCTACCACACTGGGTCAGGGTGGAGCTGGAAAAAACAGCAATTAAGAGGTGGTGCCACACTTCTTAAAACCTCCAATCTCCTGATCACAGGCCTTGCTGCCAGATGTAGTTTATCATCATACCCAGGACAAAGGTTTCAACAGAGTTGAACATACCATAAGAAGTGCAGCTGAATGAACCCAAAGAATTTGCAAACATCTGGGTGGTTCTCAATAGCACAACCACTCTCTGCAAACTCTTTATGAGAGTTAGCTCATTACAGAAGAAGAGCTTGACAGAAAAAAAAAAAAAAAAAGAAACTGTATATACAACATACCATACAAATGTGGAAAAGAAGAAAATAGAAAAATCAGCTGTTCCCTTACAGCCAGACTTGAAGAACATTAAATAGGCATAAGAAAAAGTGTAATATAAAAATTTGGAATGGTAAATCAGGTCTGGAGAGAGACTGGTACACATTACTCTCTCTGAGAGAGTTGACAGAGGACACAACTGCAGAGCTTCTTGGAGAGAAAACTGGTTTGTAACTTTCAATACTTTCAAAACCAAGTTAGTAATGTTTCATCATCATTAAGGAGACCATGAATTTTCTCCAGTTATAATAGATGGTTGAACTCTTAATGAGGCTCCTAGCTTTGAAAGTCTGTTGCTTCACTTCAGAGCTCAAATGTAACTTATATTTATGATCCAGTGCTAAAGATACTGGAAAAATGATTGGCTCCTTGTACCGCTCCAGAAAGTACTGACTCCTCCTGCCATGCTTTAATTTTACAAAAGTTAGATTAGATATCTGGGTTTTTTGTTTTTTTTCTTTTTGTCAACTGCCATCACACACACATACACACTGCAGTTGGGATCATGGTGTCATTGTAAACTCCACAATCCTTTCATTAGTAGAATAGTATGTGTTTCGACAGGACTACATATGATTTTTGAATTCAGAGTGATTCTTTTCCTAGACTGGTGGCCACTAAAGGCTGAAAGCCCAGTCTGCCCCACTATTTACCCATGGCTGAAGATTTTGAATTCAGAATTGTCATTGTCCTAGACTGGTTGCCACCCAAGGCTATAGGACCCAGTATGTTCTACTATTTACCCATAGCTGGGGGAGAAGAGATTCATACTTTTCATACCTTCACACCTTTTCTAAGGTTATTTACACATGAATGCAACAAACTCAACTGCAATTCAAACTCAGTTCTCTGATTCCCAATCCAACCTTCTATCCATTACTTCACCATTATTCTGGGCTGGAGCTGCTCAACCCTCACTCTCCAGCCTTGACAGAGTTCAACAGCATTTATGCAGCCTTGTAGAAGATCATTTATTTTCCACCCTACAGCCTCTTTCCCCAGAGATGAAATGTAACAAGACTATCATTACTCCATAGCAAATGTTTAAATAAGCCCCATTCTTTGGTGCCACTAGTTCAGGCCTTTGCAGCCAAGACCTGACTTGCTACAACCACAGGATTGAATCACCTTCATTCCCTACATATTTCTTTCATAAGAAGGATGTTTCACTCAGAAAGCTTCTTCATAAGAACTGCTACTTTGTGGAACAGACTCCCACATGGATGCTTTCCCAAACACTACAATATTAACCTATTCAAGGTTCTCATACTCTTCCCTTTCTACTTCCTCCTCTTATTTCATATCACACACTTCATTCATCATTCTCTACATTAAATGATTATTTGGCCTTGTATTGAATAAAAAAAAAAGAGAGGGAGACAATTTGGTTGGTTGATTTGTTTTTTTATGTCTTATCAACCCTTTGCAGGTTAGTTAAAGCCAGGAAATATTTTTAGATTGTAAGAATTTGGGGTGGGGAGATAATAATGGTTTAGTGTTACAAATCTTACTAATTAACCTATAGATGGGGGAAGAGAAGAGGTGGATTTATACTTTTCCAAAGGGGATTTGCTCATAAGTGAATATAAAAAACCCAATGGGAATTGGATCTCTGCTCTCCGATTAACAATTCCAAGCCATTATCCATTATACCACCCACATATCCAAGTTTACACCACCTGTTATTCCTAAGCAGTCACCCATCGAGGTACTGACTAGGCTCAACATTGCTTAACTTTGGTGATCATACAGGAACTGGTGTTTCAACATGATGTGGTTGTAAGCCTAAAGAGAGATGAATAAGTCAGCGCGACATAAATAGCATGATTTTCTTTTTTTAGCATGAAAGAAGTTGGGGACTGCCCACCTGCCCCTAAGTATAAAAATCATAGCTGTAATATTGGTGGCGGCGAACAGTACTGTCTGTGTGCCTCCTGTTGCTAGAATGAACTATACTGGTTTGAATTTTAGCAACTATTTTCTCATTGTCACCTGCTATTTATTTCTGAAAGGACAGCTTTAGTAAGTCTGCAGTCTATTGATGAAAGAAGAGCTTTTATTTTATACAACTATTTAATTTTCAACACAAATATCTTTTCCTTACTTAATTCAGTAACAAATATGAATAACATAGCTCAAACGTTATACAGTGAAATTTTTGGGTCAAAATTCAGGTAATAACTTTTGAGTTATTGATTCACTTCCATATGTTTAAAAAAGGATATAACAAGATATTGTGCTAATGTCATTAACAACACAATGAGTTGTATTGTTTGATCATATCTTGGAATGTTAATTACCCCCACTTAGTTTGCCAAGACATCTGTTAGTTGGCGCTGTTTTAAGACTATAAAAACTTGGAAATAATCTTCCTCTGTTTTCATTCTAGAATGCAGTCGGTAGGAGATTTGTTATTTATTCCCTTTGAGGACTTAGTCATCCAGTCATGTGGTGGATCTTTTGATTACCTGCATTTAAACAGATACTACAACTAACCCTATTAATGTTTTTCCTTTCCTTTTCAGTTGTATAGATGCTAGTATATTTTCAGTCTTGTTAATCATTTATTTGTTCTGATAAAAAACATGAAAATATCTCCCTGTTGAAATGTGTTCCTTTTCTCCTTTTACCAATACAAATGATGACAACTCGTCATTTACATGCAAATATTTAGATTGCAACTGAGTTAAGCTAGAAGTAGTGACTGCAACAGCCTCTTCTCTCAAAGACTAAAAGATGCATTTCATTTCAGTATCATAAGTCAGAGGAGGCACGGTGGAGTAATGAATAGTGGCTCAGATTGAGGAACTGGAGAGCTGAGTTCAAATTCCAGTCAAATCCATTACATTCACTTACATGCTAATACCCTTGGGAAACATATGAGCTATGGGTAAATAGCAGGACAGACCGGGTTCTATAGCCTCTACCACAGAAAAAAATGGCAACCTACTGCAGGAAAAGATCCTGCCTCGTCAGTCATGTATGATTGCATGATTGCCTAAGTGTATATCACGCATGGCACAAAACTGACTGACTGATCATAAGTTCCAGTTTAAGTGTCAGTTCAGCATAGTTTTGGGGAAATTTTTGACAACATTTTACAACCTATTACATTGATTTCTTACCCATGTTATATACTGTGTATGATTGCAAGAGTAATAAACAAAAACAACAAAGCATTACTGGTGAAGTGGAAAAAAAGCAGACAAGATATGTTAAAATAAAATTCTCAGTATTGCCAATATAAAGGATCATGATAGAATATCTCTTTGTGGGTGAGGGAAGTAACCTGAAGTGAGCTGGTTTTGTGTAGAGCTGGCATTGAGGTTTGTGTCCAGTCAGTTGACCAGGAGCTACTGGTGAACTCTGTGACTGCTTTCAGTATCAAATTGAATGCATTCCATATAAAACCAAACCATATCATCTGCAATCAAATGGAATTGCAGAAAGAATGTTACAGACAATAAAAATGGGATTGAGAGCATTTTCTTTTCAATGAGATGATATTGATAGTTTCTTACCAAGAACTATACTCACATGTTAGCAGATTACTGGGAAGAAAGACTAGAGCCCCATTAACCATGTCATATTTAATTAATGGAGAATAGGAGGAGTTGATTGTGTGTAGAGCTGACATTGATGCTAGTGTCTGCCTACTTATTGTTTATATGCAATACAAAAAATACTGATGGTGAGTTGGAAAGAAAAGGAGATGAGATATGTTAAAATATCTCTGTATTGCTGGTATAATATATCAAAGCAGAATGTCTCTTTTTTGTGATGATGGAGGTGATCTGGAAGATAGAAGATTGGTTGTATATGAGCCTGACATTGAAGCTTGTGTCAGGTTAGTTGACCAAGAAGCCACTGGTGAACTCTGTAAACTGCCTATATACTACTTTAGATGTTGCTGAGCAAGTCCTTTTAAGTAGTCAGTGTGGATACAAAACTGTTTTTTCAATGCTTTTGCTTTAGTGGCAACATTTGTGATTGGCTCCAATGTTTAAATTTTATTTTATATTTCTTGAGATTTATTTTATGAGCCAAATGTGATGCCAGGAGCCCCTGTGTAGAGTGACTGCATTATTTTTAATTTTGATTTTGTAGTGTTTACATCCAGCTGACAGGTTTTGGTGTGAAGTGAATCAGAAAGAGGTCTAAAAGAAGTGGGTGTTATACCCTGCCACACCCACTTCTTTTTTGTTCTAAACTAAAAAGATCTGAGATTGTTGATGAGAAGAATTTGGGTAAGAGTAAATAAAGTAGTTGAAATATTTGAACTTTAGTTTTGTTTTTATAATATTACTGTAGACAAAAAACTTAATGAGTAAAGTTAAAAATGATTTTATATTAAAGGTATGTGCCTAAAACTCTTAAAAACAAGTATAAAAAGAAAAAAAAACAAAACTTTCTTTTAGAATAATCATGTCATACCCTGTTGGAAGTCCAGTTCTTTAACACAAAATAAAAATCTTCACTTTGAGGTCCACAGTTCATATGACAAAAACAGACCTTAATTTTGACTCTACATATCTACTTTTGGAATACTGCTCCAAAAGTAGCAGGGTCATTAAACATCTTTTCTGTCCAGTCCCAAAAAACCCATGTGGTTTTCACAGCCAGTGTCTCACTATAAAGCCAACACTAATTTCATCCATGAAGGCAGATTCAACCAGGCTAGCATTAGTGATGGACTCCATGGCTGGCCAGCTTAACCAAATGCTGAAAACAACACGACCACCCAGACCATCAGCAGTAACACCAAGGTGCTTCCATTAACAGTGATGCCTTCGATCAGTGATGGAACTGCTAGCAGCAGAGACTCAGTCTCAGCTAACACAATGCGATAATTCTATCTACATGTGTGTGTTAATTTTCTTCCATGTTTTTATCTCAACTACTACCTTGTGTTATACCCTAAATAAACCTTTGGTCTCCTATGACTAATATAAGATACTCTGGAATGAGCAAACAATTGAACATTGTAAATCTCAAAAAATAAAACCCCTTTTACTTATCTGGATCACATCTTAACTCAATGTGTTGTTTTGTCACTGCCACCTTTTTTTCTTGTCATTGGTAAGGCTACTGTTAGAATCCCTTATTTATGTTTTAGTGTTTCACCCAAAATTTGTAGAAAAAAATAGCAATCTAATTTATTAGAGAAAAATCAAAATTAAATATCTAAATCAAGTGTATAGTTGTGACTGTCAAAAGAATTAAGAAAATGGATTCAAAGAGTAAAACTATCCAGCCATTTTGAATATTTTGTTGTGGAGGCAGAAATGGGTAACCTGGAAGACAACCTTTTTATTATCGTTGTTACTATTGTAGAGGTTAATTCCTTCTCCACCTCTGCAAACATAAATCCAATTGTGAAACAAAAGAGGACATTGAATATAGATAAATAAATGTTCAAGAAATAAATGTTGAAGAAGAGATGCCAGGTCAGGACTAATAACATTGCAGATTCTTCTTTGAATTTTATCAAGAATATCTAGATATATAGCAGAAGCACTACAATGCAAATGAATATATGTTGATGCATTTAATAATATCATAGAAATACTATATTTTATAATACTACCACCCCACTCACCATCCCAACAGTAAAACTAAAGTCATAATTCTGTAGCAAAATCCCTGGTTCTGTATTTTGAAGATTAAAAAGAAAAGATAGAAAAAAACAAGAAAATGTTGATTCAGTAAGGAACAAGTTCAAGCCATGTTTTATATGCACATTGAAACTAAAACCAGTTAAACAACAAAAAGGGTTTGGTTGTGATAGAAATTATGTTTTCTTGTTAAAACCAAATTTGCATTTCTTAAAATAGGATTTAACATTGACGGCCCACAACCTTCAAACCAAGAAAACCATCCACTTTTAGGTTCAGATTTCTTTTTTGATTAGATTGTCTACTTTCAACAAGATGAAATTGGGAGGCAAGGCAGAGACTGAATTGGGAAAAAAAATTGTCTTTATGACTAAGTTAAGACTTTTCTATGAGTTTTTACTGATATTTTTCTGATGTGTCTTTCTTTATAGTGTGATATTTCCTGCAGTTATCATTCTAAGAACTGCACCAAAATATCATTACACTCACTCATGATTGTTTGTTTCTTTGCTTAAATTGTTATTTGTTGCAAGAATGATAATCAGAATCACTTTTAGTCTTTAACCCTTCCTCCTAAAAGGGGTCATTTACCAAGTAAATGCTTATCAACTCAAATATAAATTACCAATATTTATGAATTATTTGTCTATTCCTAAACCAAGTCAATGTTTATAGACTCAAACAAATTGTAATCTAGTAACAACTCTACATAGAAACTTATGAAGCTTTATTTGACACATTTTGGTTTAGTGCTGAAAAACGTTTATTTTATTATAGTGGATGGTTACAAGAGAGAGGTGAAATGGCATGTGCTTATTTTATTATTACCACACAAATATAAACAACTAATATTTATGTATCTCTAAACCTTGTAAATGCTTATAGAATCAATATAAATTATCAATATTTACTTAACCCTAAAACAAAAAAAATGCTTATTGACTTAAATACAGTTTAAAAGAAAAAGAAGATTGATTTTAACATTAATCCAACACTGGATGACATGTAAAATCAATCAACGCAAAAAACATGACACAGTTATCTCCCTTACAAGCTGGTTTTATTTTCTTCACTTTCAGTTACACAAAGTCAACCTCAGAAATTATTCATAAATTTTATTTAATGGCCCCAAGGCATAAGAGAAATGATGTTACCAACTTAAAAG